AGTCAGCCCCTGGTCAGTTTCAGTGGCAGCAGCTGAATCTGGAGCCAGTTCCGACTTACATATGAATTCAACTTAAGAACAAACCTATATTCCCTATCTTGTACGTAACCCGGGGACTGCCTGTAGTTCTATTTTTCTATATTCCTAGGGACAGGTTCTTTTTTTCCATTTGAGGTGAACCTGTCTATTGATGGCCTGCCTCTGGCATATGACTGATATCACTCTAGTTACTAAAATTAATCTTCCATACTTACATTAAATTTATTTGATGAGATTATTTCCTGATATACTTAATATGAATTACTACAATGATATTTGCAGCCATTTACTTCTACCTGCCAAAAATTTAGGTATTAGATCATAAAAGTAAATATCTTATTCTGAGAGCAGTGACATCAAAATAATGTGCTTGTCCTGGAAAAACTATCCTCATATTTGTGAAATTTCACAGGATAGAACATGAGTTTAATTTTCTATCAAATGTTGGCATCAACATGAACAGATTTTGATTAATTTGTTTTTCAGCTGTGTTTTAAGGATAGTTATAATAATTTGTTTGTTCCATCTTTACAGATTACCATTTTTAAAGAAGAAATTATCTGATGAAGTAAACTATACCCCAATTACTTTAGAATCAATTGCACAACTGGGTAAGTTTACATTGCTGTACTACAGTACCATCCAGGATAATAAAAAATACTCAATTATATTCTCAATTGAAGTTTAGAATGTATATGATTTTGTTAATGTATTTTTAATTACAAGTTCTTGCTACAGCCTGAGTCAGTCAATGTTCTGAATTTCCCAGCATTCAGAAGTATTCCTATTTTGCTAAGAACCTCATCTGGGCAGCTTTCAAAATAGTGGAGAATTCTAATTGGCTCATTATCCAATGAGGTTTCTTTCTTCCCAGTGAGAGAGGCTACCCACCACAGGAAAACTCAAGATATACTCCAGTATTATACTAGTAGCCTGATCCACTGGCTGATTTTGTTTTGCTATGAGAATCTTAATTATTACACATGAGCTTTTAAAAGAACACCACCACCACATGCTCTGTAAGTCAAGAGAGCATGGAATTTTGAATATCCAACAGAGATGGGAATAAAAAGAAGCATAGCGGATCAGCAGGTGGGAAGAATTAAGCAATAGACAAATGGAGTAAAAGGCAGTGTATGATGGGTCAAACAAAAAGGAATATCCTTGTAACCTGTGAACAGAAAGTTCTCCTGCCTATAGGTCTTTATTTTCATCTGTCCAAGCCAAGGAGTTAACAAAATAGATCTTCAGTCTCTATTTCAGACTCTCTTGGATAGTGCCTGCCCCAAAACTCATTGCAAAGTAGAGGACTGCAAAATTAAAAGAGAAAGCAAGTCAGTCTCTCTTGGGGAACGTACTCAAACTATCTCCACAGCATGGCTTTCACTAGTCTGATCTCTCCTTATTTTGTAGAAAACATACTTTTTATATGCGCCTCTTAAATCCCATTGTGCCTCATCAGAAGCAAGGATTACTAATATGCCAACATGGTATCAGTTGCATTATTAGTAATTCTGTTTTCTTTATTCGGAGAGACACTGAAACCATTGAGCTCCATTCAGGAGAGAGGGGAGGTCCATCCCACCTTGCTCAGGGAACTCCAGGCTTTGCCTGTAAAACAAAGGTCAACAGAGTAGGCTTCCTTATAAACCCCAGGCCACTTTCCCAAGACTACTTCCTCTTCCTCTGTGCCAGTGAATCCTTTCTCTCCAGTATTTTTATAATCAAAGCCAGAATAAGGTAATACCAGCCCAAGATGGTTACCCTCTTAGAGCATGAACACATAGATAGACAGGCAGACAGACAAGGTGTAAACAATAAGGAAAGATGCACATTACTCAGTGTAGTACAAGGGGATGTAAGCAGGAGGATTCTAATGATATTTTTAAACTATTCTATCTTGTAAAGATTACAAATCAGAATTTGTCTGTTTCTTACAGGTTATTTGATGAGAGTGCCAGCCTCTCAAGTGAGGATACAAATCTGTAAGTGTATCATTAGCTTTTACAACATAAAGCCAGCAAACAAACAACTTCCAGGTAAAACAGACTATTTTAAAGTCTTGCAAAAATGAAACAGTCAATGTATGCGATCTGTCATCTGCTTTAAAATGAGTCTTTGCCTTTAGCTCTTATTCCAGTTAAGAATTTTTATTTGAGTAAATAAATAAATACCATAATTACCTTAATTACTGGACAATGTGCAGTTAATATAATTTAAATATCAGGTATACATCTCTATTGAAAAATGCTTTATTAAAAATGAAATTATGTGTATGCATTGAATGCAGCTATCTAATCTGGTAATATGTGCAAGATTAATTTAGTTAGATATTGTTTATTATAACATAATAGGGGGTTAGGTTGAAATGGTACAAATTAGTGTGAAGCGAGCAATAAGGATTTTGAAACATGGAGGATACAAGATAAGGAGTAGAAGGCTTTGGGCTGGAAGAATGAAAAAATGTAGAATTCTTGATTTGGCCATATAGCCTCTAGAGAAGTAGCATTATCTCCTCTACCTGGGTTTTGTGATTTAGAAAGCTTACAGCAATTGGCCATTTCTCTGCCATGTGGGAACTTCAGACACCAGTACCCTTTAGTCTGTCTTATTCTCTGCCACTTGCACATAATATATTGATCTTGAGTGGGCTTTAATACTTTGATCTCTTTTCAGTTGTTGGGATTAGTGCATGGATGTTGAGTGGTATTGGTAATCTGTAATATATAGGATGTTGCACTGAATGATCTGGTGGTTCTTCTTCGAGTGATCCCCCGTGGGTACTCTGCTCATGGTGTTGGGCTCATCCTGGCACCATGGATTGGAGACTTGCATAGCCGTGCTCCGCCAGACCATGCATGCGCGAGCAACGGCTCATACCATTCGCGCCTTTGATCTGTTGCGCGTGGTCCGGCTCCTGCACTGTTCCTTCCAACCACCCTCAGTCGCGGACAGAGCTCCATCTCTCCCTCAGAGTTTCTCCTTACCTTTAGTCTGTAAATAGTTAGTAGCATACCAAGTTTCATTTAGTCTTAGCTGTATTCTTGTTCACCGTTCATCTAAAACAAAAAAAAATTTACTCAACGGAAAATAGACTCTCCGTGAGAAATGCCTGGTTCCCCAAGCTTTAAGAAATGTACACTCTGCTGGGAGCCCATGCCAGTGTCAGACGGGCATGAGGCATGTATATGGTGCTTAGGAGAAGCACATGTACCACAACGGTGTCAGCACTGCTGTAAGCTAACAGCCAGAGCCCGTAAAGACTGTGAAAGATGGTTGAAAATGCTTACAATGGATAAGGCATTACAGCCTGCTTATTTGCCTACCCTTGCATGGCACAAGCGCAGTATTACTAACACTGAGCTGTCCCCACCAAAAAAGTCTAAACCGTCTCCAACCCGGTCTCTCCCAGGGGCTTTTAGTATCAGACAGGACATGAAAGATGGTCCAGGTACGTCAGGGACAGCTGCTGCAGGGTCTCGGCGGATGCTGGCCCCCAACAGAATAAAACCGCCACCTGCGGCACCAAGAGTGCAGTTGCACATCAGCACCGGCAGCAGGAACATTCTCGCTGCCTGTGGCACCGGTGTCGCCGGCACTGCCAACATTTAAGCCGCAGACCACAACTTTGCCAGCGCCAGAGCAAGCACGCTCGGCACCGCACTCCACGGCACCACTGCAGAGGAATATCACGGCGACACCAAAGGAAGCCCTTGCACACATGACCGTGTATCTAGGGCTCGTTTCTCCTTCCCCAACTTTCTCTCCGGGGCCATCCCTCTCCCCCCAGTTATGTCACCGGCACCACAATTGAGCATACAACCCAATGTCCCCAGATCATTACTCCTGCTATAGGGAACCAAGATACAGAGAGAGGAGGCTGTCTCCCTCAGTCCCCATCTCCATGGCGTTCATTGCATTATTCACGATCACCTATCTAGTCACGAAGGCATCATTACTATACAAGGCATAGTAGTGTGTTATCTTCTTGGCACTCATCTCCAACACACTCAGAACAATACTATGGTCATTACCATAGGACATATTATGACCCTACTCATCATGATCAGACCTCACGATACTACAGGAGACGCACATATTGCTGTTCATCTCCGCATTCTTGACCCTTACCTCCAGAGCCTCGACGCGATCATTCACTGCTTCCAAGGGAAAGTAAACAGTTTGCTGCATTCCTAGCTCTGGCTGAGAAGCGCAGGGAACAGACGAATCTGTACCTGCCCTAGCTGGGGGACATATACTGCTGCAGTGGCCATTGAGAGGTGCTTCTCCCCTGATCCCAAGCTGCTGCAGTGACAGTAGG